GAGCCCCTTCAACCGCCAACGGCCATTCGGATAATCGTGTTCGGATCCGTTCGCCAGCACTACCTGTAAACACTGCCAAGCGTGCGCCACATATCGACGTAAATCGAAGCGAGCTAGAGCTCATTTGGGTAGATGATAATCTGTTTTGAAGTTGACGATATTGCTGGAGGTTGATGAGCGCCCCCGTAATTGTCACGTCGCGCTCGAACACGAGAAGCAAAGTGAATCAGTTGCAAACCTCTTCTTATCACAGTTACATGCTACCGAGTCTCTCTAAAAAAGAAAAAGTCCGTCAACTCATTGCAATGCACTATTATGTCAGTGGAATATCTTTCCAGCGCATCAAAGGAAAATATTGGAAAAAAATCGTTTCAATTTATTGTCCAGATTTGGTCCTTCCCAATCGGGAGAGGCTTGCAAGCTCTTTGCTGCAAGTGGTAAGTTTGCAAACAGTTGCAGGCATCCAACACAACATTTTATAGCTTGATTACAAATATGAGGCCAAGCGTAAAAAATGAACAAATTTCGAGTTATATATAAATGGGCGGCAGCATATCGTTGTATCTGGAGATAGTCTGCACGCATGAGCAGGGAATATGCCTCAGTCCATTGCTGGTGATCTTAGCCGTGTCATTGATAACAGAACATTTCATGATCGTTCCATCAGTGGAGTAGTGAATGTTATTACTGCCATTAACAAATTAGCAGGTTGCAGTCAATATATACCGAGATGTGCTATCAAAGATGAGCGAGCCACGGTCTGCATTTACTTGTAAACATCAGTTTTGCAGCCGATGAGACCAAGGATAAAGAGCTATCATAAAGGTTGCTAATTCATGTGTTTGTTCGCATTCGCTTCTCACTCTAAACAAGTCGAATTTCTCGATTTATATCACCACAAAATCAAGGCGAAAGAAATACTTGTAAAGAATCAAACAATAAATAAAATCCGGCCTGGATTAAGCCTGCCACCACATGAGGAATAGCCTGCAGCACAACTTTCCCGACCTGCTGAAAGGTGGTCTTCTCTCTACCGTATTGTTACAACTCGAGTATCAAATTTATGTACAGTCAACATGAAATTAAGTGCTCAGAAAGTGTTCGATATCATTAGTGATGCTAGTTTTTTATCGCGAGAAAAGTGTTGGTTTCTTCGATCCAATTATTAAAACAATCACCATATTCAAAGCAGTTTTCAGATGCAATATCTGTTTTCAAAGTATACTACGCATTAAACTTCGACCTTTCGCAACAATTCGGATGCTGAACGTGTTTAGAACCTAGAGAGAATATGTATTTAATGTCCCTGGCCTTGATTTTTTGGACAGCAACGAGATGAGAAAAACTTTATTCTAAATCCACGCTCTGTGCGACATGCAATTATCATGGAAGGGAAGAACTTGCTAAAGACTCTTTACTCGATTTAGTTGCAGAAAAAGTACGCAAGGCAATACATACTTACATCCAATTTTAGGTCAACGCATATAAGGACCGTCAGCAAACTTTCTGTCTCGATGTTGATGGACCATCTAAGACTGCTCTTTGATACTGGATGATCGTCCGATACCAGAATTGTTCTCTCTAGATTGTTGTCTAGTTGCGTCAAGAGCCCAGTCAGAAATAAACTTCTCAGCTGCCAAATTTATCTATTCGCAGTTACGGAATTACTGAAGGACGAATGTGTTAAACAATGAATCTTTATGAAGACCATCGATTCTCAGGTCTGCGGACTGCTGAAAGCTCCTGATTATGGCTGTATCGATGAAGAAGAGTATCAGGGTAGTTGAAGTGATGTCGTAGACTGTTCTGATGGTAATATATGTCAGATAGTTGAATTAGATATTATTGGCGATCATCCGAAATTGTTAACAAACACTTAAATTTGTGCTTCTGACTCTTTATTACAAAACCAACAGGTTTCAAGTCTTATGAGATCAGGAACGAGTATCCCTTAAATTCAAAATGATTTGTCAAATGTGAATGATTGCCACCCCAAGAGTTAACTACTGACATTTTTGCGTCGGAGACTCGATTCTGATAATTTATGGACCGCACGATTTCAGCGTCGATACTTTCTTTGTGCTAATGGTTCAGCAATACGTTGTGCTTGGTAAATATTGTTGTAGATTCCGCGACTGAGTCGTATGTAGAATGGATGGAGCATGAATTATATAAACTCTTATTTTCGGACATGTAGACTGGCTAATCAAATTTTTGTCTGTTGCAAATACTTTCGAAGCCAAGAAACTGGCCGTCAAAAGGCTGGAAGCAGTAATTGTCCTCCTGGAGGCGTTCGGCAGCCTCAAGAATATGAAAGTGAGCCCAACCGAGCACGGCTGGAGGCACAGATGACTCTCATAGAAATACTGCTGATTATAAGCGTCCAAGGTCTTGAAAGCCGTCTTTCAATAATTTCTATTACCACTGGATCTGTGGATGCTGGGGGCTGGAATGTTCATGGATTCAACTAGTCCCTAAACAACCCCACGGCAAGTCGCAAACGTGATTTCCACGCTAAGAAGTTGCGATCATTAACTCAAATTGCCTCGGAAGAAGTGGCACCCTCGAAATGAAGCAATGTGAGGCAACACATGTCGAGAATGTTCGGACCTCAGTTTTGACCTACCAAGAGCGTTCAATGTTCAATACAATACATAAAAAAGGTGAGGACTGACAAATCATGTTAAATAATAGTGAGCTATAATTGCTTCAACGACGTGTGACCTTCTCTCGCGAGTAGTAACGAAACCTACTTATATGAATGGTCCTAAAAGCTGGGGTGGCTTGCGATGGGATGCTGCATGCAATGTAAACACATAATTTTTATGAAGGATCTCATAGCTGGCGATCGACTTCGCGGTGTCAACCGATGTAACATTTGCAATGTTGTTCACGCTTGTACCTTTTGTGATCCCTTAGCGCTCGGATATGAAAGCAAAGTATTGGATTCTTCCGCAAGAGCGAACAACTCAGCCTCACGAGAATCCGGCTATTCCGTTAAGCTCGGAGCGGACGGATGTCAATAAGACCGAGGTCCATTGTACGTCAGACATCTCGCGGTCAGCTGTGACTCATACACAAAAGCAGCGGCTCAGTCTATGAAGAGTGGGGCTTGCGACCAAAGAATTGTTGCTGCTTTTATCAACACTGCATACTTTGCAAAGTCATAGATAGTTCTGATACACGGATATACGGAGTGACCGCTTAATGTCAAGGGTTAAATAAATTTTCAAATGGACTTAATGATTTTCGACAATGTAAAACGTTGCTTAGTCCTGGAACTACAGTGATGTATGGTTTCACAAGGTATGGCGCGGCTGGAATGCCACGAGTCAATGGTCGACAGAAAGTCAGAAACGTAAGATGCCATACAACTTGTTATTGACGAGTCGTTAGTCCACCTCTCCCAGAATTTGAAGTACATTTGATGTGGACATAGAGCTGCGAAGGGGTTGTGCAGGGAAGAAGATTGCTCGAAATTGGTGACAATGTTTTTGCTTTGTGTATCACAAGGTTCGGATGGTAGAAGCAGCACTGGAGTGATATCTCGGGATGATACGAAAAAAGACGATTATCCATCGTGGGCTTCAGAGTTTATCTAGGTTAAATCGACAAAATGGCTGTTTTGCGCAATCTCTAGGGTATTATTTGATGGGACGGACAATAACAGTTGTGAGCTTTAGTCTTCAGCTCCAGCTTCGGTTGCGATTGTTTGTCGCATATATAGTGACTGAGTCTGGCAGCTCAACAGCGACATTAATGTGCAAGCGAAAGGTCCAGGTTTAAATAAAAGAAAGCTGTCTCATTCTCGTCACGATGTATTGGTACTGCTGAGTTAGCACTTCCGTGAGACATGCTCACCGTGCACAGCAGTTAAGCCTCGCGGGTCAGTGACGTAGAAGCCAAATTGTAGGGAAATGAATCAATCGTACGTATCCCATTATTACCCTTTGTAGAATTTCGCATTAAGCTTAATAAACTGTCTCATGGGTTTTTATGCAAGGGGTTGGGAAGCCGTGGTGTCACCGGAGTGGTGCGATTGGTATCGAACGGGTAGGATCTCGTTATATGTCGCGAAGAATTCGGTGGTCAATAGCACTGAATGGCAGGAGTAATCTACGAATTTCTAGAGACCTCTCAATTCACTTTCGAAGAAGTTTCTCGATACCATGAAGATATTTTCTTTGCTTCGTGGACCAAAGAAACAATAGAAACCCAAATGAAGAGATACTTGTGACATCATGATATGTTTGTTTGTGAAAAGCGGATGACAAAGGACTTATCTTCCACTTGACTTCGATTTTCAGGGCTGAAAAGGCAACCATAAAGTGGCATATTATGCGAGCTTCTGTTGAGCAAGATGCTGTTAGAATTATTAAGGTAACTTAAAACAGTATAGTGGTAAGATACATTCAGCTATTAAAACCGGTCGTTTTCTGATCAAAATTAAAAACAATGGGAAGGAAAATGTGATCGTTGTTGTGTCTCGCCAGCTTCAAGCCACAAAGAAACTTAAACTATCTGGCGATGAAGCTAATTGCTATGAATTTCGTTCTCGTCAAGTTCGGAGTGAACCTGTTCGCTCCAAATAGTTTGTTAGTAGTAAAAATGATGCGTTGTTGCGCACGGTAACGTCATCACCACATTCAGAGCCAAGAATATCAAGATTCTAATCTTCTCTACCTAAATAGTTGAATAAGGGAAATGTTCGGTCGACTGACTAGATGTGGTGACAGGTAGGACCGACGGAGGGTCTTTGGAGACGATGTTTCAAAATTTCTTTTCCAAAAGATAGTATAGATCCGAAAGATCCTTCTGAATCGACGACCCACTTCGTGCGTTCAGCACCCTCTTGGTGTCCTCCAGATCAGCTTCATCCAGAAGCAACGACGAGTTAATCTCCTCTTTTGGTCTAATGATGACCACCTCAGCTTCGCCTGCCTTCAAGACACTGCCAAACTCTTCGAAAAACATCTCATTCAGCTCAAGAATAGCATCCATCGCGGAAATAGCCTCGAAATTGACGTCGCAATATTGTTGCCAAGGGTATATAGCTGTGCGCTATTGTCTACGGTAGACACATTCTGGGTCAGTGTCGACACCTTGCGTCTCCCAAATAGCAAACGGCATTGCCGACCTCTCTCTATAGAGCGTTTTGTCGTCTCGTCGAGGCCAGTGGGAACACGTACTCGGCGTTGTCCAGTGTCCACCATCTTTGCTACAGCATAGCCTTGATGTTATTAACAACATCCGACAAAGAGCTGCTAGCTATTTTCAGAATCTTCGTTCAGTGAATAATGTGCAACTTCATATCAGAAGGGCCTTGTCCAACATACCTTGGAACTCGTTAGACCATACCATGCAACTTCACATCAGAAGGGCCTTGCCCAACATAACTCGGAACTCGTTCGACCATACCGCTCTTGGCATGCAGCAACTGCTTTAAAATGTGAGCAGTGCCTAGTGGATCTAGTGCCACTCCATGCGCATCACAAGGGCCTCGCCCAAGATTCATCGGATCTCGTCTGACCATCCACTCTTGGTATGCAGCAACTGCTTTGATACTTGTGTAGTGCTCAGTTGATTACGTGCAACTTTACGTGATACACTAGGGCCTTGCTCTTGATGCCTCGTCCCTTGGCCGACCATGCCTCGCTTGGCATGCAACAACTGATTTGATATATGTGCAGTACTCACTGGGATACGTGCCACTCCACGATCAGACCGCGAGTCATGCTCGAGACTGCTGTCCAATACACCTTCGATGTTCGATGTTTGGATAATCCGATATTCAGCACATTGACCGTCCCAGATCAGTGCCCGCGCCATTAGCGCTATGCTTCATAGCAGAGGTGGATTCATGACTTACCATTGCTCTACTGGGAGACGTACGCGTAGCGCCCAAGGTCTTCGACCTCCAATCGCTTAATGGCTCATGGTGTTCCAACCATGCCATACCAAGGACAAGCTCACACCTTTAATCAAACACTAAGGCTTAGCAGAGCTCACGCAATCGAAAACAATAAACTTGACACCGAGACCCACAGAGACCCTCGGTACAGTGACACTAGTCCCCGTTGCTAAGCGAAAAGTGACAGTGTCAATCAACCGCGCCTTCAGCGCCTCGAGATATTGGAGCGTCGAGCATAACTGCCCGACGTCCCGGAATCGACCATGATCTTTTATGCTTCTCAAAGCCTTTCACGGTCACTTTACGACCAGCAAGCCCGACGTGCAAACACGTTCCATACTAAAGAGCCCAGAGCTCTTCGGGGCTGGGCCCTACTGCCCTCTTTTTCTTGAAGGCTCAACAAACCCAGCTCTTCCCCCGTAGTGCACTCCTACATGCTGGATTTGATTGTTTCCTCGCAACAATCCAGACTGGTTAAAAGCGGAACGTCGGTTTGATAAACGTGTACGCCTTCACGGTCACTTTTACGACCGGCAAGCCCGGCTTGCATATACGTTCCGTACTAAAGAGTACGGAGTCCGAAGAGCTCCATGCTCTTTAGAATTAAGTTCCTGACCCGTAGCCCCCCCCCGCCTGCTGGATTTTATTGTTTCCCGCGACAAACCAGACTGGTAGAAGCGGCACGTCGATTTGATGAACATTTACGTGCCTTACGTGGGGAAAAACCTGTCCGAAGGCGACGGGTGTCCGAACGCTGCTAAGCAGCTCGAAGATTTCCCTCCTCTCTCTCAGCATAGCTGAGCTCCATTGGCTCAGACCCGCTCGACGAGCTCTGAGAGTGTGCATTTCAACCAAGTTGGCTCGAGATAAGGCGGATGCACACGGAAAACCTTCAGTCTGGCCACGCTAGTGCGGAGGCCCTCCATATAAACGGTTACTGCGACCGCAACTGGGAGAGGGTCAGCTGTCATCCCGGCAATTACTCAACTCTTAGACAAAGTCCACCAACTTCTTCTTGCCCAGTCGGGCGGCGAGGAAACGCGATCACAAGCGATATGCCTGGTCAGGCCGCGAGAAAACTCGCAAAAGCTGACGCTTAAGATCCTTCCAGTAAGAAACGCCACTTCAATCAAAGTACTGCATATTAATGCCCAATCTTGCGCTTGACCCCCGAGCTTGAAGATAGCTAGCGTCACGCGCTGTTGCTCTCCTTGAAGCATGGCGAATGCTACAACCATCTTGGCCTCTTTTACCCAGAGCAGGATATTATCTCCATCCCAACCCTCGATGGTCTTAACACTCACCATGAGCGGCCTGGGTCAGGAAGAGTCATTCGTCGTCGACGGTGGCGTAATGAACGCAGTCGACGCTGACAGCTTCTGCTGTAGGTGTTCCAACAGAGCATTTTCCTAATTTGAAAACGCACGCTGATCTCCTCGAGACCTTGCAAAACAAGCAGAGCCAAACAGAGCCATCAGCTTATGAAACCTGTCTTGCATGCTCCGAAGCAAATATGAAAATTGATCCATCCTCACAGAGGATCAGTCGTAACGACTCAGGCGTAGATGGTTGACGACGAGTTCTACGAAGTGCAGCGGGGCTGCCGTAGCTCTTTGCTAATTGTAAGCTAAGCTTTGGTCACCGACCTTACGTTACTGACAAGAACCAGTACGAGTGTAGCGGATCGCAATCCTCTACCTCCAGAGTATTTAAAAACCTTAACCAAGGTCTAGACGCTCTTCTGCTCGAAATTGATATGATAATAGTATTTATCGCGGCATAGCCGCCAATATCCAGAACCATAGGTTTTCCTAATTAATATGCATTACTACTAGCAGATAGGGGCTTGTTACAATGTAGCCACACAATTTTATGATTACACCATCTCATGTGACCCACCCTTTCATACAAGGGTACATATGACCATAACCCTATTTCAAATTTTACCAATGTGTTTAGAAGGTGCATGACGTTCTTCCATGTCATGGCTACGTGTAATTCATTGCAATTTATAGCCAATATGGTAGAGTGGGTAAATGCACATGTGCGTACGCGTTATCGCATACGACGAGACATTTAGCCAGTTTACCGCTTCAGCAGAGCGCTGATAGTCCTCCGTATGTTTTTTCGGCCTTCTATAAGACGCGATTGGTACTGCCGGTGTTGTGGTATTTGTGAATTGTCTGAGCAAGATGGCTCATTTCTTTGCTGTCATCGATACCATGACTTGTGAAAACAGTCAAGCTGTTCTACGGATTTGTTCCTAAGTGTTACTTGCCGATAATCTTTAGATCGGATCATTATAGCATTAGATTTGGCAAAAATTATGCAAGGTGCTCTATACCAGATTCGATAAGTCAAGCACCGCCGTTTCACAGACAAAATATCAGGAAAAGCCAAAACGGGTGGGCTGCTTTAACTCTTTTGGTGTACAGTGAGTAACACAGTATGCATCTCCAGGCCTAACACGATTTTACATGAGCGAATTACTTTGCCCTTAAGTCTCTTTGACACAGTGGGACTGATCCTAGTGACCAAATATTTAGATGTGTGCTATACACAAATATAGTGCTTGCTTCGTTACACAGAAGCGTGCGAAGCTGGTCCATCTGTCTGCAGACAGATATTCGAACACCTCATGATGCATCCCCACAGAAGATTCAATGCTTCTGCGACTCGGTTGTTGGATTGACTACAAGTGGTTCCAAGTACAACGAGGTTAAAGCGCATTATGCTCAGAGGAGGTTTGATTTAAGAGTTCGCATACCCAAACGCATAGAAAGTTAGTTTGTGTGACGGGTCACACGGCACCTTGCACAGAGGAAGCTTGACTTCCAAGAGTATA